GATGTTGACAGACATAGAGGATAATCCAGAATGTTTTGCTGCACAATCCCACCCCCAATGGGCTGTGCCTTACCAGCCCCAGCTGTCCTTTGGTCAACCTTGGCTTTCTCTCTGATGATGTCTCCCAAGAAAGTTTCTAGTCTCTAGATCACTGTTTTTCAACCCTCCTAATGCTGTGACCTTTGAATACAGTTCCTCATATTGTAGTGACCCCCCAATCACAAAATTATTTTCAATGCTACTTCATAATTGCAATTTTTGCTACTGTTATGAATGGTAATGTAAGTATCTATGTTTTCCAATGGTTTTAGGCGACCCCTGTGAAAAGGTCCTTCAACCCCAAGAGGGTTGTGACCCACAGGTAGAGAACCAGTGCTCCAGAATCTGCTTCCATTCTCTGACACATCTCACCATGGGATTCCTGTTGGGAATGTGAACATGTAACGTATATAATATATAGTATATATATATGCATATGTGTGTTTAAAACATTACAGAGGAAATAATTTTGCAATGAAAAGTGTGCAATTAATTTAATTGAATCACAACATTTTGACATGAATCCTTTTATGTTTAATCAAGTGTTTTAAGTTGTCGAATCTATGGGCTTCCTCACTTTCTTGGCTGTCAGTGGCTCCTGTGGTTACACTAGGAATTTTTAAGGCAGTCATGATGCCCTCACACATGTAGGTTTCCTTGGCTGAAATGTCAGATTGATACAGATTATGACTCAGTGTGCTGTTGTCTGTGATGTCAGGGTTATGTCCAAACAATCCTTTTCCATACAAATGCCACAGAGCTTCATCACATTTTCTTCTAATAGTTCTGCAGATTCAGGCCTTACATTTCCTTTTTTAATTCATTTAGAGTTGGTGTGTGTGTGTGTGTGTGTGTGTGTGTGTGTGTGTGTGTGTGTGTGTTGAGTGTGTGTATACAGGTGTGTGCAGGTGTGCTTACTCACATATGTGCATTTGGAGGCCAGGGTTCATGCCAGGTGCCTTTCCTTCTTTTTTTGGAGACAGGATCTTCCACTGAAACTTGAGACTTCAGCATGAGACCCTGGAATCCCCTCCTCTGCACTGTGCTGGGGTTCCAGAGCCGTGCTGCCATTCCTGGCTTTTTATGTGGGTGTTGGAGATCTGAACTCAGGGTCTTACGCTTGTGCAGCAAACTCTTTTCTCACTGAGCAACTCCCCCATCCCCTAGTATATTTATGTTGTATGACACAGGGGTCCTCATGGGGATATTTGGTTTTTTTTCTGCCACCATTTGTGGAAGAGGCTGCCTGTGGTGATACTTTGTTTCTGCTCTGACAAATAAAGCTTGCCTGGAGATCAGAGTGCAGAGTTAGTCACTAGAGGCCAGGCAGTAGTGGCACACACCTTCAGTCCCAGCACTTGGGATCTTATGCCTTTCATCCCAGCACTTGTGAGGAGGAAACAGGAAATGATATAGCTGGGTGGAGAGAGGAAGTGATAAGGCAGAGTGGAGACAGGAGCTCGGCCCTTTTGGTCTGAGGATTTGGGTAGAGGTAAGAAGTCTCTCTAGTGGCTGGCTCCTTTACTTCTCTGATCTTTCAGCATTTACCCTGATATCTAGCTCTGGGTTTTTATTACTAAGACCAATCAGAATTTGTGCTACAGCTGCCCTTTCCCACGGTGCTTTCTTGGCTTTTTGTTAAAAATCAATTGACTACATCACTTTAACCCCAGCACGTCTTGCAGGCAGAACCAACTGTAGGTTGAAGGTTTGGTGGCTGGGTTGGTGTCCCAGTCCCACCACTGGAAGTCTTGTCTGGTTACCAAAGAGTGCTGGTTCAGGTTCCAAATCCTCCATTACTAGGAGTCTTCACTAGGTCACCTTTGTAAATTTCAGGAAGTTTTCATTGCGCTAGGTTTCCACCTAGTCGCTCCCCACCAATGCTCCCCAATTCTAGTTATCTCTCCCAGTCCTCTCCCTCCATCTCCTCCTGCCTGATCCCTCCTGTTCCCATCCCCACACCCACAGTCTACCTGCAAAACCTTTTCATTTCCTCTTCCCGGGGAGATCCCTTTGAGCCCTCTTTTTTACCTAGCTTCTTTGTGGCTGTGGACTGTAGCCTGGTTATCCTTTACTTTACAGCTAATATCCACTTAGGAGTGAGCACATGACATATTTGTCTTTCTGGGTCTGGGTTACCTCACTCAGGGTGATTTTTTTCTAGTTCTATGCATTTGCCTTAAAATTTCATGATGTCATTGTTTTTAACAGCTGAGTAATACTCTATTGTGTGAATGTACCACATTTTCTTTATCCATTCTTCAGTTGAGGGACATCTAGGTTGTTTCTAGTTTCTGGCTTTTATGAATAAAGCTGCTATGAATATAGTTGAACAAGTTTCCTTGTGGTAGGATGGAGCCTCCTTTGGGTATGTGCCTGGAAGTGGTATAGCTGGGTCTCAAAGTAGATCAATTCCCAGTTTTCTGAGGAACTGCCATTGATTTAAATACACTTAAAGCTATTTCTCACTTTCTGTTTTATTAGGTTCAGTGTATCTGGATTTATGTTGAGGTCTTTGATCCATTTGGACTTGAGTGGATAGTGGACAGGGTGATAAGTATGGATCTTATCTTGCATTTCTTCTACATGCAGACATCCAGTTAGATCAGCACCATCTGTTGAAGAGGCTTTCTTTTTTACAATGTATAATTCTGGCATCCATGGTGTGTAAGGATTTACTTCTAGATCTTCAATTACATTCCATTAATCATTCTGTCTGTTTTTATGCCAATATCATGCATTTTAAAAATTATTTTTTACTATAACTCTGCAGTACAGCTTGAAATTAGAGTTGGTGATACCTCTGGAAGTTCTTTCATTGCACAGGATTGTTTCATCTATCCTGGGTATTTTGTTTTTCCATATGAAGTTGAGTATTGTTCTTTCAAAGTCTATAAAGAATTGTGTTAGGATTTTGATGGGGAGTTTGGTTGAATCTGTAGATTGTTTTAGGTAAGATGGCCATTTTTTATTATGTAAATTTTACCAATCTATGAGCATGGGAAATCTTTTCATCTTCTGATATCTTCTTCAATTTCTGTCTTCAAAGAATTGAAGTTATTGTTGCACAAGTCCTTCATTTGCTTGGTTAGAGTTGGCAAAGGTGGTCCAGAACTTGTGGGAGTGGCCAAGCAATGACTGATCCAACTTGAGGCCACACCATGAGGGGGAGTCCACACCTGATGCTGACTGGATGGCCAGGAATGAGAAGCTGGGTAGCCCAGAGACCTAGAATAGAACTAAACATGACTGCCTCCCGACAAAAAGTCAATGAAATGATTCCTAATGATATTCTGTTATACTCATAACCTGGAGCCTAGTCCAATCATCATCAGAGACACTTCATCCAGCAACTGATGGAAGAAGATGCAGAGACCCCCAGTCAAACATTAGGTGAAGCTTGGGGAGCCCTGTGGAAGAGGGGAGGGAAGGATTGTAGAAGCCTGGGAAAGTCAAGGAAACCACAAGAAAATTCACAGACTCAACTAAGCATGGCTCATAGGACCGAAGGGACAACCAGGGAGCCTGTATGGGTCTGACCTAGGTCCTCTGCATACATGTTGTGGTTGTGTAACTTGATGTTCCTGTGAGACTCCTAACAGTTGGAGTGGGGGTTTTCTCTGACTTTTTACTCTGCTCTTAGGGCCCTTTTCCTCCTACTGGGTTGCCTTGTCTGTGTTAATATGAAGGTTTGGGCCTTGTGTTATTGTAACTTCTTATGCAATGTTCCACTGTTACCCCTGGGAGGCCTGCTCTTTTCTAAAGGGAGACAGAGGAGGAATGGAACTTGGGGAGAGGGGAGATGAGGGGGGAGAACTGAGAGGAGTGAAGGAAGGGAAAACTGCAATTGGGATGTAACATATGAGTGAAGAATTTAAAAAAAAGGAAAAAAAAAGAAAAATCAATTGACTAAAAATTATATGGTTCAATTCTGGGCTTTTTACTTTGTTCCAGGTTTCCTGTGTGTTTCATGTCAGCACCTTGATGTTTGATTATTGGAGCTCCACAGTGCATTTTGAAGTCAGAGAATGTGATGCCTCCAACTTCGTTCTTTTGCCTCAAGATTATCGTGGCTGTGCTGTGACATCAAATGGAAAAGCTTCTGGAAAACTAAGGGCAGAAAGGATACAACAAAGAGCCAACAGCGTGGGACAGAGAGTTTGCATGCCACACACCTGGGTGAAGGTTTGTATACAAAGTGTATAAAGAATAAACACAGCAGAATAGAACCAGGAAATAAATATCCCAATTAAAAATGGGCAAAGAGCCTGAATAGACACTTCTCAGGGAAAGATAAACAAATGGTCAACAGGTACATGGCAAAATACTCAGCCTCGGGAGTTATCTGAGAAGTACAAAGCCACAATGAGATATCATTGCAAACCTTTTAGAATGGCTGTCATCACCAAGATGAAAGACTGGTGTTGGGGAGGATGTGGAGAACCATTGAAGGGAGTGCAGATTGGCACAGTTGGATGATGGCATGGGGCTTCCTCTAAACCCTAAAAAAGGGATCTTCCTATGACCCCATAACCCCACTGTGGGGTGAGAAGACCAACGACTGGGAGAGAGCTTATGAAAATAAGCTACAAGCCACTACCAAGATACGGAACTACTCGGTGTGACCCTTGTTCATGGTAGAACAGATAGAGAAAATGTGGTGGCACAGGTACAGAGCCAAGGGACCCCCAGGCCTAATGCATGGGAGGATGCTGTCAACTCTGGGAGGAAGATGCAGGGGGTATTCAGTCAACAAGCCAGATACAGAGGGTCAAGCCCCGCACATTCCCACCAAGATTTACAATCTGAAAATGTCGAACTCACTCAAGCAGAAAGCAGTACAATAGTCAAGTGGGACAGGAGGCAGGGTGTGCAGAGAGGGAGTGAGTTGTCCATCCAGTGGCTCAGTGTCTGGGAGGTTTGGGGTTCGGTGGCATCATGAGAAGAATGGAGTCAGAAAGGACACAAGGAAAGCTTTCAGGTCACTGAGAGGAGGTCTTAACTGTCTCACTGTATAATAGCAAGGAGGGGATGTGATGGATGCGTTCATTTGGATGTTAATCATCCTACTTTGCATCCCTTCATGTTGACATCACTTTGTATTTCATAAATGTATATAATTATGACTTGTCAGGTTAAAAACAATATCAACAACATAAAGATTCAATGTCCATTATGCTGCAATTTGGTATTGATCTGGATATCTCTTCACCTGCAAATTAAAGCCTGTGTGTGTGTGTCACCTTTCATGAGTGAACATGAAAGGTGACACACACCTTCTCTTCAGACTGAGAATTTGCCCATCCCATTCTCAAAGCAAACCGTAGTCATGAGCATCTCCTGAGGTCACAAACCCCTGTGACAGGATTTCGCAGTAGCTCAGGCTGACTTTGAACTTGCTAAGTAGGTCAGGCTGGCCCAGAACCTGTGGGAATCCTCTTGCTTCAGCCTCCCACATGGTGGGGTTACAAGAGTGAGTGAAGACACTCCCGTCAATCTGCCAGCCTCTCACGTTACCTTGGGCGATTCTCGCCTGCTTCTTTACCATCTACCGTTTAGTACCCTGTTCTGTTGTCCTCTCTATCCATCCCATACCCGCTTGTTGCTTTCTTTGATTTTAATTCAACATTTCATATGATTCCATATATTTCCCATATTGATTTATTATTTATACTTATCTTAAAAATCTTTCCAGTGGTTTTTCTGGGGCTTAATATTACGTGAAGGTCTGATGATCCTGTCCTCAGGTGAGAGCACGGAGCATTCTGTGTTGCCTGGGCAATTTGATCTTCTCTCTCTCATGCCTAGGACATTACTGTCATTTATTTTGCTTGTCTACATCCTATAAGAACACACAAAAAAGAATATAGCTTAATTCACACTCATCTCCTCTCTCCAATTCTCATTTTCTTTATGCAATTACAAGTTTCTCATTGATACAATTTTACCCACCCCCACCCTTGAAGAATTTTAAGGCTGGTCTGCTGACAGATATGCATGTCTTTGATTGGCCAGCCAAGTATTTATGTCACTTTTTAGAGGTAATTTCAGGATGTGTCATTCTGTGTTGGTAGCTTTTCCTTCATTGTTTCTAATGTTTTATTTTATTTTTGTCTTGCTTACCTGGCTTCTGATGAGAAGTCCACCCTTTCCCCTGCCTTGGCAGTGTAGGTATTGCCACCTAAGAGTCCTTGCATAGCCCTGGTTCCTTCTTTGGCCAAGTCTGCTCTACTGGAGAGCCCATGAAAGACGACATTGTCTTTCCTCTTCCCTGGGATTTGCATTCTATTTGACTGTCTCATGTCTAACCACATCATCAACCTTGCATGCTGTGGGCCTTCCTTTGGTGCCTTTACACACAAATCACAGTTAATTTAAAACCTACCACCCATGCCTACCTCAGCGTGGCTTATTTTGACAACTTCTGGTCTTTCCGACTGTGTTTAATCTTGACATTTGTAAATCTTGGTGAGACAAGGCATGGGCTTTTGGTGTGAAAGACTGTTTATTCTAAAGTGTTGGGTGTTTGCTGTAGCTATGGGCACCATGAACTTCAAATGATACCAACGCTTTTTCTTTCTTTTCTTTCTTCTCTTCTCTTGCACTTGGCTGCCTTTTCTTCTGTCCCTGGCATGGAGTCTGCTTCTTGTGGTCCTTCCATTGGGAACCTACTCTTGTTAGTCTGAGGCTTGCTGGGTGGTGATAGCAAGAGGAAGAAGGAGGTATGTATGTCCTAGGCTCTTTGAATGAGACTAATCTTTTAGAGTCCACTGTGCTCAGTGTTGTTAAAGTTTTTTCACAACTTTTTTTTTTCAGTTTGGCAGGAGGCAGAAAGGTATATAAGGTGTGAAGCCCAGGAACTAGAGCTGGTTAAGTTTTTAGGCTTTTGAGCATCAGTTCAGCTGAGATCCATTCGGGTGAGGACACAGAGGCTTCCAGATTGAGGAAACAGGATTAGCTGAGGAGTTGGTGAGGTGAGGTTAGCTGTGGCTTGTTCTGTCCCTCTGATCTTTCAGTGTTCACCCCAGTACCTGTCTCTGGGTTTCTTTTTATTAATAAGACCTGTTAAGATTCGTGCTACACAGTCTATTGCTATAGAAAGGTTTTTTTTTTTTTTTTGTGTGTGTGTGTGTGTGTGTGTGTGTGTGTGTGTGTGTGTGTGTGTGTGTTTTGTTTTGTTTTTTGAGACAGGGTTTCTCTGTGTAACTTT